AGTACCATCACACTGTCCCACAGCAGATGCCAGTCACAAGCCCCAGGGGCCATCCACACTTCCCAACAACTGCATATAAATCAGAAATAGCCAAATGTAAGGGATGGATATAAGTTAAAATGGCAGCAGCAGATCATGCAGGTAGATAATCCTGGAAATAGTTATGATTAAAGAAAATCCCCCATCTTTCATATTCTTTTTTTTTTTGAGATGGAGTCTGGCACTGTTGCCCAGGCTGTAGTGCAATGGAACGATCTCGGCTCATTGCAATCTCCACCTCCTACCAGGTTCAAGCAATTCTCCTGCCTCAGCCTCCTGAGTAGCTGTGCGCTACCACACCCAGCTAATTTTTTTGTATTCTTAGTAGAGATGGGGTTTCACCATGTTGGCTAGGATGGCCTCGATCTCCTGACCTCGTGATCTGCCTGCCTTGGCCTCCCAAAGTGCTGGGATTACAGGCATGAGCCACTGTGTCAGGTCCCATCTTTTGTATTCTGAAAGAGCAGCTTACACACAGAAAACACTCTTATGACTTAGATGATACTGCCTTTATACCTATGACAAAGCCACACACAGGCTAGAAATTCCCTTTCTTTTCCTCATAATTGATTAGCTGAACAGCTTTGTCTTCAGGGATCAGTCAGAACAAAGCACCTGTTAACCAAACTGATCAAGTTTCTCTCCTTCTCCCTAGCCCCTGAACCTTGATCCACTCTCAGCCTGAGCCTATATACAATCCCTCTGAAGACCCTCCTAAGAACAGACTGCCTTCAGGATCTAGGTCAGATTTTGCACTCTGCATCCTGATTTCCACCTCCCACCTTCTGTCTCCTTGTTTCCTCCTCCCTATGAAAGAAAATCCTTTTCTGCCTAAGCTTTGAGATGCTTCCAGATTTTATATTTGGTGCCTTCTCCCGTTTCAATTTTCCTTTAGAATAGTCATTCCTGTCTTGTGTGGTGGTACCCCACCCCTCTGTAATCCTGGTACTTTGGGAGGTTAAGGTGGGAAGATTGCTTGAGGCCAGGAGTTAAGAGACCAGCCTGGGCAACATAACAACATCCTGTCTCTATTTAAAAAAAAAAAATTTTTCTTAAATATAAGCCAGACATCATGACACGTGCCTGTAGTCCTAGCTACATGGAAAGCTGAGGTGAGAGAATTCCTTGAGCCCAGGATATCAAGGCTATGTAGCTATGATCGCACTACCACACTCCAGCCTAGGAGACAAAGGGAGACACTGTCACAAACAAACAAACCACTTCTTACCTAAATCCAGATTTGTTTCATTAGAATTGTCTAGAAACACACCCAAGATAATAGCAAGTACATTCTCAGAAGGGCATCACCCCAATCACTTCTACCTGTGAATCCCCAGCTTTCCATGGCTCTGAGCTTCTCTCAGCATAAAGGCTCCTCCCAAGGTCAGTTGTGAGCAGCTGGGACACTGCAGGGGAAGCTCCCCAGCAAAAACAACTGGGCCTATCTTTGAAGGCTCAAGATTGGTCTTAGTTTGAAGTCACTAGTCTCCTGTCTCTGTTTCCCAGTCAAGGTTATACACTTAAATTTCAATGAGAAAATACCCAGGGTTTGAAAAATCCAGCAAAATCACTCAAATTCACTGTTTATATCAGGGAAGGAAATTGCAAGGCACTTGTATTTCATACCTCAACAACAACAAAAAAGAAAAGTATCCATCTTCTTCAGACAATAAACATGTTATGTATTGTTTCCGTAGCAACAAATCACGTACTAAATTGTATTTGAATACTTAGAGAAGTTGCCAAGCCATGTCCCATTAGGACTTCGCATTAAACTCTGTCTGGGTAACAGGAAGAGAACACAGTTATCCACTATCACAAGTTTGTCACCCTGCAAAGCAGAAGAATTGAAGTTTTGGTGAATCTCTGTAATTCACCATTATCTACTGTACTTATTTGTGGAAAGTATTCATTTTTCAGCAGTCATGATGAAAGCGAGTTTTAATTTCTTTTCCTTAGTAGTACTCCCAATGCTAAGCCCTGGAATTCCATTTGAAATCACCCCCCACCAAAAAATAGTAACAAACTTGAGAAACTTAACTACACTTGCTTTGGGAAAGAAAAAGGGGAAGTAATAATTTTTAACAAACATAAGACTAGATAGTTCATGTTTTCTGAAATCTACATCCTTCTTGTCTCTTTGGAAAACTGTCTTATATTTCAAGCTCTACCGATGAAATACATTTATAATTATTAAAAAAAGAAAAAGAAAAAAACTGGCTGGGCGTGATGGCTCATCCCTGTTATCCCAGCACTTTGGGAGGCCAAGGTGGGCAGATCACCTGAGGTCAGGATTTTGAGACCAGCCTGATCAACATGGAGAAACCCCGTCTCTACTAAAAATACAAAATTAGGCGGGCAAGGTGACACATGCCTGTAATCCCAGCTACTCGGGAGGCTGAAGCAGGAGAATTGCTTGAACCCGGCAGGCAAAGGTTTCAGTGAGCCGAGATTGCACCATTGCACTCCAGCCTGGGCAACAAGAGCAAAATTCCATCTGGAAAAGAAAAAAAAAACTGACTGCAATAAGTGAACAAATCTTTTGCAGGGGACAAACCCAGGAAAGGACTATGCTAACCTGGAACAGAGGTTATGTCTGACTCAAGTTTCAGGTCGTTTTTTGAGACAGAGTCTTCACCCAGGCTGGGGTGCAGTGGCATGATCTCAGTTCACTACAGTCTCTACCTCCTGGGTTCAAGCGATTCTCATGCCAAGGGCTCAGTGACCACCCTTCCAGGAGACATTGCATTGTGCCCCCCCGTCGGGCTGAAGTACATTTTGCTTTTCAGGTTCTTTTGTCACTTCAATGGGATAGGTTTTCCTGTCCTTGGGACAGTTTTCTCACTTCACTAGTCTAAAAGAATCCAGAGGGCAGGAATTGTATCTGTTTTTCCCCTCAATACCATCATCTATTTCGCTGGATACCAGTGTGTCTCCCAATGGGATTGGAATTAGGGGAAGAAAAGCTGAGTGTCCCGGGGTTACCTTTTAGAGGGAGGGGCTATCAAGAGATTCCTCCCACCACAGGACACCCAGCTGCTCCTGTAAGAGGCCCCACCCCATACTTCAGGCTGTCCAGTGGGAGGAGACTCAGCAGGCTGATATTCACCAGACCCTTCAAGAGACCTGGCTGCTATGAGCATCTTTTGTCAGCCCAAACAGTCCTGAAGCCCAGGATCAGAAGAGGAAGACACATCACAGTTTATCACAGTTCAAAGTTTCCAAAGGGAAACCCCAACCCAAAGACATTGTTTTTTGTTTTTTTAGGGACCAGGTCTCACTATTTTACCCAGGCTGGTCTCAAACTCCTGGCCTCAGGTGATCCTCCCACCTTGGCCTCCTACAGTGCTGGGATTACAGATGTGAGCCATGGCACCAGGCCAACCAAAAGACATTCTGAGAAGATCCCTGTGCCTAGGAGAGAAAAAAGGCACAAAGGTTTTTTTACAGCAGGGACTCATACATGTATTCTCTGCTTTCCTTACTGGTGAAACGTTCAGAAACAGAAAACAAATATTTTTAAAAGCCCAATCGATTCCTCCTGGGAAAAAAAATAAAAATTAATTTTTGTTTGAAATGTGCACTAAAGGACAAAGACTTGATAATGCTGTGACTAGAGTTAGCTTTTGGGAATATGGTGAAAGAAGAATATGGAATCAAAGGTTATTTGCAAGCCCTAGAGTTAGGCTAGGGGAAGAAGGTCAAGGATTTGGGACCCTGTCCCCCTACGGAGAGTTAAAATAATTAGGAGGCAATTAGAAGGTTGTGGCTGTGGTGTCCTGGATTCCTACCCCAAAAAACAAAAATTTAACTCAAATGAAATTCTTTTTTTATATTTTAAAAATTGTTAGTTTTTTGGCCTTAGTCTGAATGTTTTCATTAAAAAAAAATTTGATAGAGATGGGGGTCTCGCTATGTTGCAAGGCTGGTCTTCAACTCCTGGGCCCAATCAATCCTCCTCTCTCAGCCTCCCGAAGTGTTGGGATAACAGGCGTGAGCCACCATGCCCCAGCCTCAAATGAATTTTTTTTTTTTTTTTTTTTTTTGAGACAGGAGTCTTGCTCGGTTGCTCAGGCTGGAGTACAGTGGCGCAATCTCGGCTCACTGCAACCTCCACCTCCAGGTTCAAGCGATTCTTCTGCCTCAGCCTCCCAAGTAACTGGGATCACAGGCGCCCGCCACTACGCCCAGCTAAATTTTGTATTTTTAGTTGAGACGGGGTTTCACCATGTTGGCCAGGCTGGTCTCGAATTCCTGACCTCGTGATCCGCCCGCCTCGGCCTCCCAAAGTGCTGGGATTACGGGCGTGAGCCACCGCGCCCGGCTGAAATTCTTATAGATCACCAATTTATAGAGAAATAAAATTTACGGTTAATAAACCACCACCCCCAATCCGCCTGACTATACAAGCAGAAAATTTCCACCTTGTTAAGAGCGAATAAGACGACTACAAAACTGTCACCAACCAAGTACTGAATTTGCACCTTACAGCTCTTCGTTCCAACCCCTCCAAGGGAACCCCCAATCCACAAACCACGACCCGGAGCTTCTCCACCGATGAACCGCCGTTGGCTCAAACAAACTCTTAGTGTTTAAGAGGAGAAAGGCGGGACTGGAGAGGGAGGCGCCCACGGACCGCAGCTCCCGCCACAAGAATCCGCACCTGAGGCGGGATTTCCCTCAGGGTCCTCCCGCGGCGCCCGCACAATCTGAGGAGACGCTGGGCTGCGGGCGCGGCGCCGCGCAGCGACGGGGCAAGACGCCCGGGGTCCCGGCTTCCGGCCCAGCCCAGCCCCATCCGGCGGCCAAGAGGGGACCAAGAGCCCAGAGGCGCCGGGAGATTCGGGCCCCAGACCCCGGAGTCGCCGCAGGGAAGGCCTGGGTCCCTCCACAGCCGGTTCCGGCCGGTTCCAGCCAGCCCCTCCCCACCGGCCTGGGGACGTCTGGTCCCTCACACGCACCATTCTCGGCTTCCAGGTGTCCTGGCGTCCTCCCTACAGGTTCCGCTATCTGTAGAGGTCACGGAGCGACAGAGACTGCGGCGGAGACACCTAGGGCCTCTCGGAGAAACGGAGACGCGAGCCCGGGCGGGGGCGGACGCCAGAAACAAAGGCTCGGTGAGGAGGCGCAGGCCCCGCCCTTCTCTCCCGTGCGCGTCTGAAGGAACCGTTGGCAGGGCCCCGCCCGGTGCCTCTGATTGGATAAGGTGTTATGCCCCGCCCCCTTTGGCCTGTGTGACGTGGGAAACCATGGAAACGTGGCTGTGCGGAGCAGTGTGGACTGGCTCTAGCCACCGCCCCCCAGCCCAAGGGATGTTTGGGATTTTGTTTGTTTGATTTCTTTCTTTTTTTTTTTTTTAATTGCATTTTAGGTTTTGGTGTTTGATTTCTTTTTCTTTTTCTTTTTCTTTTCTTTTTTCTTTTTTTTTTTTTTTGAGACGGAGTTTCGCTCTTGTTACCCAGGCTGGAGTGCAATGGCGCGATCTCGGCTCACCGCAACCTCCGCCTCCTGGGTTCAAGCAATTCTCCTGCCTCAGCCTCCCGAGTAGCTTGGATTACAGGCACGTGCCACCATGCCCAGCTAATGTTTCGTATTTTTAGTAGAGACGGGGTTTCACTATGTTGACCAGGATGGTCTCGATCTCTCGACCTCATGATCCACCTGCCTCGGCCTCCCAGAGTGCTGGGATTACAAGCTTGAGCCACCGCGCCCTGCTGTTTTTCTTTTTTTGAGACGGAGTTTCTCTCTTGTCGCCCGGGCTGCAGTGCAGTGTCGCGATCCCAGCTAACAGCAATTTCTACCTCCTCCTGGGTTCCACTGATTCTCGTGCCTCAGCCTCCCGAGTAGCTGGTATTACAAGTACACGCCACCACGTCCGGCCAATTTTTGTATTTTTTTGTATTTTTGATAGAGGGGTGTCGCCATATTACCCAGGCTGGTCTCGAACTCCTGACCTCAAGTGATCTGCCTGCCTCAGCCTCCCAAAGCATTGGGAGTACAAGCGTGAGCCATGGCGCCTGGCCTTGTTTTCCTCCTGCCTCAGCCTCCCCAAGTGCTGGGATTACAGATGTGAGCCATCGTGTCCAGCCAATATTTGCATTTAATGCAGAGCTTCCTTCTAACTTGCCAGAGCAGGCACTGTCATCAACTGGCACTCGATGAGCTCTTCCTTCTAAGTACTCTTGGACACAAGGTCACCAGCATGTGCAGGGAATTCCACACTTACTGTGAAATGGAGCAATCGCCTTGCCTCAGAACAGGAGGGAGCCCAGACTAGGCCAGGGAGGACAGGAACAGGAGAGACAGCCTAATATTCCCCAGGAAGTGGGGATTTGGGATGAGGTATGCCAAGGCTTCCTCCAATACCCTCCATTCCCTGAAAAAACATCTATATGAGGAAAAAAAGTAAAAGTAACTGAGGTGAGAGGAAGGTTGTTCTCTGAGGAAGTGATGTGAGATGAGGCCCAAAGTAATGTATTAGTATCAAAAAGCAGGTTAGGCTGGGCACAGTGGCTCATGCCTGTAATCCCAGCACTTTGGGAGGCCGAGGCGGGTGGAACATGAGGTCAGAAGATCAAAACCGTTGTGACCAACATGGAGAAAACTCATCTCTACTTTAAAAATACAAAAATTAGCCGGGCACGGTGGCTCAAGCCTGTAATCCCAGCACTTTGGGAGGCTGAGGCGGGTGGATCACGAGGTCAAGAGATGGAGACCATCCTGGTCAACATAGTGAAACCCCGTCTCTACTAAAAATACAAAACATTAGCTGGGCATGGTGGCATGTGCCTGTAATCCCAGCTATTCAGGAGGTTGAAGCAGGAGAATTGCCTGAACCCAGGAGGCGGAGGTTGCGGTGAGCCGAGATTGCGCCATTGCACTCCAGCCTGGGTAACAAGAGTGAACTCAGTCTCAAAAAAAAAGAAAGAAAAAAAAAAGTACCCAGGCGTGGTGGCACATGCCCGTAATCCCAGCTACTGAGGAGGCTGAGGCAGGAGAATCACTTGAATCCGGGAGGTGGAGGTTGCAGTCAGCCAAGATCACACGACTGCATTCATGTGAGACAGAATGAGACCCTATCTCAAAAAAAAAAAAAAAAAAAAAAAAAAAAAAAAAGAATTGGCCAGGCATGGTGACACATGCCTGTAATCCCAGTTACTTGGGAGGCTGAGGCAGGAGAATCACTTGAACCCAGGAGGCAGAGGTTGCAGTGAGCCGAAATCGCACCACTGGACTCCAGCCTGGGTGACAAGAATGAAACTCCAGCTCAGAAGAAAAAATGGAAGAAAGGAAGAAAGGGAAGAAAGGAAGAAAGGAAGGAAGGTGGAAAGGAAAGAAGGAAGGAAAGAAAGAAGAAAGGAAGGAAGATAGGAAAGAGAAAAAGAAGAAAGAAAAAGAAAGAAAGAAAATCTGTCTTCTCACTTAGAAAATGATTCCACTAGCAGGATCTGATGTAGCTATTTTAGAACTGTGGAGTCTGTCAAAACGTTGCAACTTCCCAAGGAAAAAAATAGGTGATAAATTGTGGTTAATTTCAGTTCATTTCAACTCTTAGTTCTGTAGTAGTAACCCAGGCATCCCCAAACTTTTTACACAGGGGGCCAGTTCACTGTCCCTCAGACCGTTTGAGGGCCGCCACATACTGTGCTCCTCTCACTGACCACCAATGAAAGAGGTGCCCCTTCCTGAAGTGCGGGGGGCCCGATAAATGGCCTCAGGGGGCCGCATGCGGCCCACGGGCCGTAGTTTGGGGATGCCTGTAGTAACCCATTCCATGCTTCCAGCTTCATGGCAGGCAGCTGAGTCCCAACAGCAGCTTCCATGCATGTTCTGGGGTCCAGGGTGGGCAAAAAAGGACCCTGTCTTTCAAATATTGAGGGTCAGTGCTCTGCTTCCTAATTGCTGCTTCTGATCGGAGAGGTGCAAAGGGATGGGTGTCCATTATTGCCACATCTTCCCTCAGTGTTAGAAGGTTCTTAACCTCTGCCTAAAGTGACTTCCAGGAGATATAAAGAGCTGATGCCAGCCGGGAGTGGTGGCTCACACCTGTAATCTCAGCACTGTGGGAGGCTGAGGTGGGCGGATCACCTGAGGTCGTGAGTTTGAGACCAGCCTGACCAACATGGAGAAATCCTGTCTCTACTAATCCCAGCTGCTCGGGAGGCTGAGGTAGGAGAATCGCTTGAACCAGGAAGGCAGAGGTTGCAGTGAGCCGAGATTGCGCCATTGCACTCCAGCCTGGGCAACAAGAGCGAAACTCCGCCTCAAATAAATAAACAAATACATACATACATAAATAAAAGAACTGCCTAAAAACCCCCTCCTGCTTTCCGCACTGCCCACAGAGGGGTCTATACGGCTTTGTTCTCTATTCCTGTCATAACTTAAAGGGAAACTTTCACAATGTCCGGAGCCCTTGATGTCCTGCAAATGAAGGAGGAGGATGTCCTTAGGTTCCTTGCAGCAGGAACTCACTTACATGGCACCAACCTTGACTTCCAGATGGAACAGTACATCAGTAAAAGGAAAGTGATGACATTTACATCATAAATCTGAAGAGGACCTGGGAGAAGCTTCTGCTGGCAGCTCGTGCCATTGTTGCTATTTAAAACTCTGCTGATGTCAGTGTTATATCCTCCAGGCATACTGGCCAGAGGGCTGTGCTGAAGTTTGATGCTCCACTGGAGCCACTCTAATTGCTGCCTATTCACTCCTGGAAACTTCACTAACCAGATCCAAGCAGCCCTCCGGGACTCACGGCTTCTGGTGGTTACTGACCCCAGGACTGACCACCAGCCTCTCATGGAGGCATCTTATGTTAACCTGCCTACCATTGCTCTGGCTAACACAGATTCTCCTCTGCACTATGTGGACATTGCCATCCCATGCCACAACAAAGGAGCTCACTCGGTGGGTTTGATGTGGTGGATGCTGGCTCAGGAAGTTCTATGCATGCGTGGCACCGTTTCTCGTGAACCCCTGTGGGAGATCATGCCTGATATCTGCTTCTACAGAGATCCTGAAGAGATTGAAAAGAAAAGCAGGCTGCGGCTGAAAAGGCTGTGACCAAGGAGGAATTTCAGGGCGAATGGACTGCTCCAGCCCCTGAGTTTACTGCTACTCAGCCTGAGGTTGCAGACTGGTCTGATGGTGTGCAGGTGCCCTCTCTGCCTATCCAGGGGTTCCCTACTGAAGACTGGAGTGCTCAGCCTGCCACAGAAGACTGGTCTGCAGCTCCCACTGCTCAGGCCACTGAATGGGTAAGAGCAACCACTGAATGGTCTTAAGCTGTTCTTGCGTGGGCCTTAAGCAACATGGAATTAAGGTTGATGGAAAATAAACATCAGTTTCTTAAAAAAATATATTAAAAAATATATATATTCCCTTCTCTGAGAATCTAACCAGAGCAGACATGGTTTGCAATTTCCTGGGAATCTGGCTGCTCATCACATTATCCTACAAACATTCCAATCCCGTCGTACCTCACTCATCCCACCCCTGGGAGATTCTCTGAGGCAGTCGTCTCTGGCTGGATCCACTGTAGGATCTGTCCGCACCCTGCACAGGCCTAGCAGCAAGTGGGGCTGGAAGGAGCATTTATTTGTTCTCCAAAAGGGAAACTGGGTCTTCTGGACGGTGCTGCAGTTCAGCCTGCGGCCACACAGGGGCAACAGTGGACAGGTAAAAGCGTCTGAAAAAGCGCTCAGGCTGCGGGCTTACCTGCCCAAGGCATCTGCCTAATTTTCTTCATCCATCCATCCACCTGCCTGCCTGCCTCTCTGCCTGCCTGCCTGCCTGTCTGTCCATCTATCTACCCTCTATTCATAATGGAGATGAGGTATCACTATATTGCCCAGGCTGGTCTCAAACTCCTAGGCCCAACCAATCCTCCGGCCTGGACCTCCCCAAACGCTGGGATTACAGGCATGAATTATTATTATTATTATTTTGGCTGAGTATAGAGGACTTTATTGCTTTATTGATAGGCCCTTCCCTGTTCTTCAGGGGGTCTGGCATGGAAACTGTGTATTGGGGAGGTTCTCAGTGTGGTAGGGGCTGAGTGCGGCAGGGACTCCAGAGTGGCTGAGAGCCTCTCTCTTCCTCTCATACTCTCACTGGGGCTCCTGGTCTGAGGGTCCTACTCCTTGGAGACAGTGTGGACCACCACCTTGTTACTGAAGCCAAATTCATTGTCATGCCAGGAAATGAACTTGACAAAGTCCCATCAAGGGCAACGCCAACCCCCAGCACAGAGGTGGATGAGTGGGTGTCGCTGTTTAAGTCAGAGGAGACGAACTTGTCCTCAGTGTAGCCCAGGAGGCCTTGAGGGGGCCCCAGATGCCTGCTTCACCACCTTCTTGATGTCATCATATATGGCAGGTTTCTCCAGATGGCAGGTCGGGTCAGCCACCAACACATTGGTGGTGGGGACTCGGAAGGCTCCGCCAGTGAGCTTCTAGTTCATTCCAGGAATTTGCCCACAGCCTTGGCAGCACCAGTAGATACAGGGATGATGTTTGTCATGCCAATTTCCCAGAGGGGCTGTGGTCATGAGCCCCCTCCATGATGCCAAAGCTGTCATGTATGACCAGGGTCAGTGGCTCAGCCTGTAATCTCAGCACTTTGGAAGGCCAAGGTGGGAGGATCGCTTGAACCCAGAAGTTTAAGACCAGGCAGGGCAACAAAGTGAGACCCCGCCATCTCTATTTATTTATTTATTTATTTATTTATGAAATAGGGTCTTGCTCTGTCACCCAGGCTGGAATGCAGTGGCAGGATCCCAGCTCACTGCAGCCTCAACCTCCCAGGCTCAAGCAATCCTTCCACCTCAGCCTCTCAAGTAGAGTAGATGGGACTACAGGCACCCTCCACCATGCCTGGATTTTTTTTTTTTTTTTAACTTTTCATAGAGACAGAGTTCTGCTATGTTGCTCAGGCTGGTCTTGAACTCCTAGGCTCAGGTGATCCTCTGACCTCAGCCTCCCAAAGTGTTGAGATTATAGGCATGAGTCACTGTGCTGGGCCTCCATCTCTATTTAAGAAAGGAAGAAGTCAGGCCGGGCGCGGTGGCTCAAGCCTGTAATCCCAGCACTTTGGGAGGCCGAGGCGGGTGGATCACGAGGTCAACAGATCGAGACCATCCTGGTCAACATGGTGAAACCCCGTCTCTACTAAAAATACAAAAAAATTTAGCTGGGCATGGTGGTGCGTGCCTGTAATCCCAGCTACTCAGGAGGCTGAGGCAGGAGAATTGCCTGAACCCAGGAGGCGGAGGTTGCGGTGAGCCGAGATTGCGCCATTGCACTCCAGCCTGGGTAACAAGAGCGAAACTCCGTCTAAAAAAAAAAAAAAGAAAGAAAGAAAGAAGAAAGAAGGAAGGAAAGAAAGAGAAAGAGAGAAAGGAAGAAAGAAAGAAAAGAGGAAGGAAGGAAGGAGGGAAGGAAGGAAGGAAGGGAAAGAGAAAGAAAGAAAAGGAAAGAAAAGAGGTCAATAAAGGCATCATTGAAGTGACAACATCCATTCTGTGAGAGTCAGCAGCAGCCCTGTTGACCTGGTGACCAGGCACCCAATATGGCCAAATCCATGCCTTCACTTTTACCACGGTGCCTCAGGGACATGCCTAGCACTGCTGTCTCTCAAATAGGAGAAGCAGAGAGACCTCTGCCTTTAAAAAAAAAATCTTGGGCCAGGCGCGGTGGCTCACGCCTGTAATCCCGGCACTTTGGGAGGCCGAGGCGGGTAGATCACGAGGTCAAGAGATTGAGACCATCCTGGTCAACATGGTGAAACCCCGTCTCTACTAAAAATACAAAAAATTGGGCCGGGCGTGGTGCCTCAAGCCTGTAATCCCAGCACTTTGGGAGGCCGAGGCGTGTGGATCATGAGGTCAAGAGATCGAGACCATCCTGGTCAACATGGTGAAACCCCGTTTAGCTGGGCGTGGTGGCGCGTGCCTGTAATCCCAGCTACTCAGGAGGCTGAGGCAGGAGAATTGCCTGAGCCCAGGAGGCGGAGGTTGCGGTGAGCCGAGATCATGCCATTGCACTCCAGCCTGGGTAACAAGAGCGAAACTCCATCTCAAAAAAAAAAAATACAAAAAATTAGCTGGGCATGGTGGTGCATGCCTGTAATCCCAGCTACTCAGGAGGCTGAGGCAGGAGAATTGCCTGAACCCAGGAGGCGGAGGTTGCAGTGAGCCGAGATCGCGCCATTGCGTTCCAGCCTGGGTAACAAGAGCGAAACTCTGTTTCAAAAAAAAAAAAAAAATCTTAAAAATAAAAAATTCAGATGGGGCCTCACTATGTCACCCGGGCTGGTCTCAAACTCCTGAGCTCGAGTGATCCCCCTGCCTTAGCCTCCCAAAGTGCTGGGATTGCAGATGTGGGCCACCATGCTCAGTCTGTCTTTTAATTATTATTATTTATTTTTTATTTTTTGAGACCAAATCTTGCTCTTGTCACCCAGACTGGAGTGCAATGGCATGATCTTGGCTCACTGCAAACTCCGCCTCCCGGGTTCAAGCAATTCTCCTGCCTTAGCCTCCTAGTAGCTGGGATTACAGGCGTGCACCACCATGCTCAGCTAATTTTTGTATTTTTAGTAGAGACAGAGTTTCACCATGTTGCCCAGGATGGTCTCGATCTCTTGACCCGATGATCTGCCCACTTCAGCGTCCCAAAGTGCTGGGACTACAGACGTGAGCCACCGTGCTTGACCCGTCTTTTAATTTTTAAAGGGTGGGGGACACCATGACCCATCTTTGCCCACCTAAACCACCTATTCAGCAGCCCATGCCCCGCAGCCCACAGCTGGCGGACATTATGCAAAATCTAAGTCAGATCTGTCCCTCTGGTTAGAACCCTCTGTGGCTCCCACCTCACCCCAGATAAAAGCCCCCTTTCCTGCAGTCCCCAAGGCCCCACACAACCTGCCCCACCCACCCCCTTCTCACCTCCTTGCCTTCAACCTTGCAGACTCATCCTTCCAGACTCAGCCCTTGCTCACTCTGCTCCAGCCAGAGAAGCCAATTTTTGCTTCCTCAAATCAAACTAACTCATGACAGCGCTGGGAAGTTTGAAGCCTTAGGGCCCCCAAAAATCCATCTTTGTGGTTCCTTTGTAAAGGTGTAGTCAATTTAGACATTTAGAAACACAATTTCCCTTAAGCCTTTATTTAGTTACTATCACAACTAATATGTTACTTATATACCTGGCAAAGTGAAACATCAAAAGACTAATTCAGGGCCCGGCCTCAAACCTGTAATCTCAGCACTTTGGGAGGCCAAGGCAGGTGGATCACAAGGTCAAGAGATCGAAACCATCCTGGTGAACATGGTGAAACCCCGTCTCTAGTAAAAATACAAAAAATTAGCTGGGCATGGTGGCGCGTGCCTGCAATCCCAGCTACTCAGGAGGCTGAGGCAGGAGAATTGCCTGAACCCAGGAGGCGGCAGTTGCGGTGAGCCGAGATCGCGCCATTGCACTCCAGCCTGGGTAACAAGAGCAAAACTCCATCTCAAAAAAAAAAAAAAAAAAAGAGATGAGGTCTCTACAAATGTAGTGTTGGGATGACAGGTGTGAACCAGTGTGTCAGCTTATTCTTAAATCTTTTAATTTTTCTTTCTTTTTTTTTTTTTTGAGACGGAATCTCACTGTTGCCCAGGCTGGAGTGCAGTGGCGTGATCTCAGCTCACTGCAACCTCCACCTCCCAGGTTCAAGCAATTCTCCTGACTCACCCTCCCAAGTAGCTGGGATTACAGGTGTGCACCACCATGCCTAGCTAATTTTTTGTATCTTTAGTAGAGATGGGGTTTCTCCGTGTTAGCCAGGATGGTCTCGATCTCCTGACCTCGTGATCTACCCGCCTCAGCCTCCCAAAGTGCTGGGAGTACAGGCGTGAGCCACCATGCCCAGCCTATTCTTTTAAATCATTGTAAATGTCTCCTCCAAGCAAACACTTGAGAAGTCCTTAACAGTTATTAAAATTCTATAATCGAACCACATATAAATAAAAGAAGATAATAAGTTCTCTTAAACATTCTGATACTACTTCTAAACTTAGCCAATAAACTGAGAATGAATGTTAATTTTTTTTTTTTTTTTTTTTTTTTTGAGACGGAGTTTCGCCCTTGTTACCCAGGCTGGAGTGCAATGGCGCGATCTCGGCTCACCGCAACCTCCGCCTCCTGGGCTCAGGCAATTCTCCTTCCTCAGCCTCCTGAGTAGCTGGGATTACAGGCACGTGCCACCATGCCCAGCTAATTTTTTGCACTTTTAGTAGAGACTGGGGTTTCACCATGTTGACCAGGATGGTCTCGATCTCTCGACCTCGTGATCCACCCGCCTCGGCCTCCCAAAGT